TCCCAACCCCCCCCCCCCATTGAGTAAAGCACAACATGCAAAAGCTAATGGTTCTTTTCCTATAACACTGAATGTCACAATTTCAGCCATTATCATTTGTTCCTTACAGAGTCAGTGTATATTTATTTCTAGTCATATGTCTTATTTATTATAATTAGTGATCTTGATGATTGTAAAAGTGCTTGATCTGTAAAGGTTGGTGTAAAATCATTCTCTTGTCTGTAGATCACCTAATATTACACTGTAATATAGTGTAAAATTAAAATGGGAACAATCATCAGCTTGAAAGCTTAAATGAGATTTAATTAGGCACAAAAGCACTGCATCGCACTACACCAGCCTACACCAGCCATTTAGTTTGACCCTCTGCTGCTATATTATTGAATTATTACTGCATCAGTTTGTTTGGTTTGCGTTGACTTGACCTGTTGGGTGCACCAAAAAATATTTGTAATGATGGAAGGATTATCTTGTTATCTGTATATGTCCTCAAGTCATTGAAATAAAAAGTAACATTTGCCATTACAAACATCCAGTTCATCAGTCTTCCGAAGCAAAAAGACTTTAAGTAATCCATCAATCAATAAGAGGTTTTTAACTTCAAACCATTGCTTCCAGCTAAAATATGAGTCATCTACCCATAATATAGCTTTCTCCAGTAAAAACGTTGTCTCGACTGAATCAGGAGAGATACGCACACTTTAAGCACCATTTACAAGCAAAAACAGTTAAATAAGTTCTAAACAATGGAGGAAGCATTATTATAGATCATGGTATTTTGGCCAGAAGTGATAGCCTGAGAGTGAGTAAATGTTAAGCAAATTTTCATTTTTGAGTGAACTATTCCTTTAAAAGGTCAGGGAAGCAGTAATACTCTGAAAAAACTTAAATGTCTCTAAGCAGTGATACAGTTCCTCAACACATGCTGTATTTATCAATTCAATATTTCTATGCTATTTTATGAAGCAACATAAAATGTTGGAATAAAATACTTCAAATATTTACGTCAGGTTTGATGCAAGGCTTGGACTGCGGTCAACTATTATGTTCTTAATGTTTTTACTGCCCGCACAACAAATTGTGCCGATTCAGAGTGCCTATTCCATAACGAAAATGAAATTGGTAAGCTAATAATAAATCCACTTTTTTTTTAAATGATATTGGACCAACTACTAGAGACAGCAGGAGCTTGATTTCCAACAACATTTAATGCAAACAAACCTTTTTGACTGGAGCAAAACAAATAACTGTGTGCCACTCACTGTCCAATCAAAGCTGTCAGTGCAGAGTGCAATGACACGGTGATCAAGAATGGAAAGAGATTATGTACTGCGCTTATTGCTCCATTTAAAATGTAATGAACAATGCCAAATTAAATTAGATAATTTAAAATGAATACAGCACAGAACATCGCTAGATTGAAATCTTTGGACAGAATTGTAAGGATTTTTTTTTTTTGCTGTTATTCTGCATTTTCTATAAAAAGCAGCGCAAATAAGACCAAGTCTAGAATTACAAACAAAACATTTTTATTATTATCATTTCAGACAACTTAACACACAGACAACACAAAAACAAGCTTGTCTTGCCTACGGTGTATTAACAGCGTGCTCCTTTTTTTCTGCAAATATTTACATTCAGTATGCACATAAAGTGGAAATGGAACACTTACCACAGTAAGATTTAATAGTAATAACAATACCACTGTTAACAGTAACGACAACATATGTCTGTGTACATATATACATTGCAAAGTTTGAAAGAACAAAGGATAACAAAACAGCCAAGTAGATAGATATATAAAAAGTATAAACTGAGGTGTTACGTGTGGTTATCATGTGTTTCCAATACACAGTTTAAATTTCCTTATGGATTTGATGGATGAATACAATGCAAACAAGTGAACTAAACTCATCTGCTCACTCATTCATGTCCACTTCTACAGCACAGGACAGATAGGTGCTTATTTTTCAATGCTGAACAAGCTACAGCACCAAACCGCTAACTTCAATGGATTGAAATTAATGAAAAGAACCCAAAAATAAATCCTCCCTTACATGTTCTTACAAACCTGCATGACTTTCTTCCATGGAACACAAAAGTAGGAATTCTGAAGAAAGTTCTGGTCATTTTTGTTCATGTAATTACGATTAATAATGCACAAACATCAAAAACGCCATAAATGTCATTCATATGAATCTGTGCACTAGATTGATGCCATATGATATTTTTATTTGCATTTGGAATCGCAAAAGACAAGAGCATTCAAAAATCATTCAAATTTCTACCGAGTGTTCTACTGAACAAGGAAAGTCATACTGGTTTGACAACAAGAATACTGTAAATGAAAACAGAACCATGTAATTAAAATCACATAAGGCTTAAAATGGTAGGAACAAAAGTGGGATTTATGGAACAAACAAAGAAACTTTAAATGAAATGTTTCAATTCAGGTTGGTTTTCAAAGGGACTTTTTAGAACATTTTAATGAGCAAAGATGGTAGGCAAAAATGGACCTTCTTTTGTTAAATCCCATTTCTTATGCATATTCCTTCATTTCATGAAAAATTATGAAATTTGTAAATAACAGTAAAATGTTCTCAAATGTGAATGAAACTGAGGTTTGACTCCCATCAAGGCACAAGTTGCTCAGTCTGCCTGTTTCTCTGTCATTGGAGAGATAGAGGCATGGCCAAAGGGAGAGAGCAAAGCCATTCAGACTTACAGCTGGTCAAAAATGGTTATCTACTTTTAAGCCAGCAACACAAAAACTTACTGGTCATCTGCAGACAGAAAAATTGCAACAAGTGTGCATTTCCGTCTGCTTCCCAGACTGGTACCATTTTCCGTTTTACACACCGGACACAAATCACACACAACATCATATTAATTAAAGCATTTGTACTGTGTTTACTGTGACTGTACCATGTCAATATTTTCCCTCACATCCCCTCCCTTACACATCTGACCCTTCCGAGCAGCGCGCTGATTCACAGCCTCAGCAGACGGACAGGGCAGGTGGACCCTGTCTCTGCTGGGTTTTCTTGAGCAGCTGTATACGGTTGTGGCAGTAGAATTTCACAGCCCTCCAGTCCCGGTGGTTGGTGACCAGCAGGGGGCAGAGCTCCAGGCAGCGCTCACATTCCGCTTTAGCCGGCACTCGCAGCTCCATGATGTTTTGCACCAGGTGGGTCTCAACAGCTGCCCGCTCTGCCTCAGACCAAGGCCGCTTCAGCACACCACGTTTACCTGAGACAGAGAGGAGAACGTATGTTAATCATTATTCCTGTGTAAACACTGCACTCAGGCTTTCCCGCTCCCCCAGGCGTCAATGAGTTAGCACTGTGCTGAAGGACTCAGGCCTGTAGCTCTGGCCGTATGGCAGACAATAAACACCACCCTCACAATGCTCTTGTTTACATTTTATTATACTGTTTTTTAAGCATTTAAATTTCGATTTGAGCTAGATTATTTTAAATTAAATTCAAATTAAATTTATGCATTTAGCAGACGCTTGATAAAAGCGACTTACAGTGCATTCAGGCTATACATTTTTTATTAGTATGCGTGTTCCCTGGGAATTGAACCCACGACCTTTGCGCTGCTAATGCAATGCTCTACCACTGAGCCACAGGAACACTGAACTTACCATGTTCATATTTAAAAATATTAATTTAAATTTTAAGTCATCTTGAGGTACCCTTGCAAGTTTTAGATTGCCGAGATTGGGAAACACTGATTTACATGATCATACATACAATGATCCCATACATTATATATGTAGATGTTTATATTGCAAAACCATAAACATAACCAGGTATGCCAATATTCTGGTTACAAGAAATCTGAATAATACATTTTTGCTCCAACATGCTTACGTTAACTGGAATTTTTGGTCAAATAAACAGTTTATTCTGAATATTCACATGTCCAAACCAGACAGTGATACTTAAAAATAAAAAATGTAAAAAAAAATAAAAAAAAACGGGGCAAATTTCTAATACTTTTTTTGAAGGACAATATAAAGACAGGCAACAAGAGTCTTATGGTTTACATTTTTCCCACGTTTGTGTGCTGCT